GCGGGCTCACGGGGAGCCGCAGAGGCGTTTCGGGGGGGTCTTTCCGCTGTTTAACAGCGACACGAGTAGCCGTGGTCTTATTTACTCCTGACTTTCACATATATACGTATGTATGAGGGGTGTGTGTGTATGTATATAAAAGACACACACACACACACATATATGTATGAGGTATATTTTTATATATGCGATTTATATGTGAGATATATATGTATTTTTATATATATGTCTCATGTATACGGTGAAATACGTATATATCTCAGAAAAAGAAGCTGGGATAGGCTGCAAGTGCTGGGCACTGGATGGAAAACTGTTTAGGGATATTCGGTTATGCTTATTTATATAAATACACACACGTGCGTGCGTATACATGAATATATAAACGTTTCTGTTGGTGGAACTTGGACCGAAGGCGCACCAGACCCTGAGGAGGGCGAGGGAGGAGGCGCGCCGGGGCGAGCGCCGCTCCTTTTTCCACCCGTTTAAAAGAAAAAAGGCGGTGAAGGAGGGAGCGCCTGTTTCCCTGCCACGCCGCCGCCCGAAGCAAGCTGCTCGTGTCCCGAGGTGGACGCGGGCGCGTCTTCCTGTATTTCCAGGTAACGCCCTAGCGACAGGTTGGAGCACGAGGTAGGGTACGAAACCTGCAGCGCCCAACGGCGGGATCGTGGCGCCGGGAGCAGCAGTGGCCGCGCCGCGGCTGCAGTTGTGCAATGCTTTGCATCGCTTGAGGTTATGAAACAGCGTCAAGCAGTCAGTCAGACTCCGCAGAGCAGTTTAATGGAAGAAAGCGTATTAATCTAACCCAGCCCAAACAGAGCCCAAACGGATGAGAACAGCAAGAAAGGCTGTTGGCTTCTCATTCAGGCCCGTTCAGAAGGGGAGTGAGTGAGAAAACACTGTTAAAGCACCCCTTGCCTGTGGCACTTCTGTTAGGTTTTACTGTGTAAGAAGTGGCAAGCTGACAAGAGCCAGGCCTGGACAGCCCTCGAACTAGAGAGATCCAAGAGAGACTCAAAACGTTTTAATAATCGGCATTGATGAGACTTTCAAAGCGGGTGGACTAGCAAGAAGAAAAAGCCACAGCAGGGCCTAACGTAGCTGTTTGGGACGGAGAAATCTGGAGGATGTTTTGGCTTTAAGAAGTGCCACCCGCGGAGGACTTTATACAAACATTAGAAGAGATCCAGCAGGAAACAAAGACGATTATAACTTGGAAAGATTTTGTTTTAAAGGGCATTTCTACTCCCCATAGGTGAATCTGGTCACTTCAGTAAATCATAGATTCAATTGCACAGGTTATGCTCTGCTGTTTTAAAAGACATGTAACCTGGGTAGTGTGATCTATGAAATCTATTTTTTTAGAAATTTATCTGCCCTCAAGAAATCTATGGTAGAGGATGAGAGGGGGAGAATAAGTCTCGGGAACCCCCTCACACCCCATTCCTACTTTCACAGCTTTCTGCCTCTACCTCAGAATAGCCAGTACTAACAATTCCTGAGCTACTTGGGTATTTTCGCCTTGCCAAGAGGTTTCCCTCAATGTTTTTAATGCGATATCCACAATTTAAACCCCATGTGATTGGGCAGCCAGCGCTGAGTTGCACAAGGAAGGGATTAGTCGGAGGTTTCTCAGAACAGGGATATAAAACCAATGCAATGGAAGTAGCCGTCCTTTCTTTCCGTCTCCTTCCAGCAGCCTGAGCGCTCTCTGGGGACGCTCTCTGGGGAAGCTGGCTATTTTGAACACCCAGAGAAATTATTTCGACGTGTTTGTAATGCAAACTGGCCTGCTGCAGCCCTCACACTGCACTGCTGAAATTGCCTGAGGTCAGGCTAGGGCTAAGCAGATAGTGGGCAGCATGACGAAGGAAATGCTGCAGGGCAGATATGAGGGGTGGAAACAGAAACAACTAAGTTAAGTGCAGGTGGGGAGAAAAGATTTCCAACCCTGGTGGCTCTTAGAGGCAGTGTTAACGTTACCTGCTGGGCATGCTGCAGGTACTGTCCAGCACACGCATCCAGCTTTCTGCAATGGGAAAACTGGGGTGCAAGAGCATTATGCAACCAGATCTCGCCCTGAAACGCAGCTGGGATATGATTGAGAACATAGTAATTATTTGTAGCTTGAGTAATACGGATGCAGCCAGAGGCGCTGTGGCAAATACCTGAAACTATTTGGTGATAATGTACATGGCACTTGCTAAAAAGTCAGCATGTGCATCAAATAAAACAAACTAGTGAAGGAAAACTGATTTATCTTAAAGTCTGCTCTTTCCAAATGTGGTCCCTGCACATTTGTAAGCCTAGAAAACAAGTGGCTGAAGGACGCAGTCAGGTCCTTTCTGCTCTATCCTTTCATCCTTCCCCATCGCCTTGGCTGACTTACAGTACCTTTGAACCTTCCTTTGTCCCCAGATTTGCTTCTGCAACCACCAGAAAGTTAAAAGTACTTAATTCCCTAGGCCATTACCATAGTATTATTCGCTGCAAAAAATAATCTTGTCAACTATGATGTTGTCACATCATAGTTAAACATACAAACTTACAAGGTTTACAGGCCTAAACCTATGAGCATTAAGTTTAATTAAAATTATACTGGATAAAATACTCCCCTAAAAGAAAGTCAGGGCTGACAGTCTTCTATGTACTCTGTGACTACCCTGCTTTCAAAAAAATGTCCCAGGCCTTCAGTAAACAGGAGTGAATGAGCGGTAGGGTGCAGGCAAGGCTGGGTTGCAAGCAGTGTGCGGTGAAAGGTCCTAACAGAAATTTATTTGCACAAGCTTTTCTGAGATCCAGGGTGTATCACGCAGGCCCCTAAGTATTTTTCTCTTCTCGCTCTCTCAGCCCCACCCCGGGATTTTAAATACTGCCTCTTTTCTTTTGAACATTTCTCATTGCTTTTGTTGCTGAGTTGTCGTTTGGCATTTCACCCTGAGCGGCTGTGTGTTAAGGGGAATCCCCAGAGCGTCCCTGGCTTTTGTTTATTCTCTCACCAAAGACCTGCACCAAGTAGCCAGAGAAAGATGGACACAGCTTCTTCCCAAACCAACTAGTGCCGCTCCCTGAATTAGCTATTGCTTTTTTTTTTTTTAATAGGAAATTGATACTAGTATTTAATTGCTTGGGAATTAAATACAGGAATTCCCACTGCCGACAGCTGTGGTCTACTCGGCAGAGCCTGCCAGCACATTTTGATGTTGCTGCATGCCTTTGTACATGTTGCTCTACCTCTTCTTCCTTGGTACCATGCAAGGATGGGGCTTGCCAAGCATTGTGCAATACTGAGAAAACATACTATTAATTTATAGTAATAGTAGTCAAAAGAATGAGACGCCAACATTCAATTCAAGCCAGCATGTCTAGTCTGTTCACTTTTATTTGTTCCCTTTCCTGTTCATGCACAGCTTCGCTTTCCCGCTTCTTTTGCTTTCTGCCTCCCCATTTCTGTTTTCCTGCCTGATTTGCTCACCTCGTGTCACTTTGAGTGATCCTCCTCCAACATCAATTTGATAGCGTTTAGCACTTTCAGATAGCAAAACACTTTCAGACTTTCTTTCCTGGGAAAAAGCTGACAGAAGAAACAACATCTGACAAAGTCCAGTCACTTAATACATACCAGAAACCACCCTGATAAAAATATGTCCAAACAAAGCATAAACCCCAATAACGCAATATAAAATAGATGCTCTACTGTCCCATATTTTAGGTCCTTACTTGGCCCTTTTTTTTTTTTTTTTAAATTTATTAACATCTGACAGCCACAGTAGAGATGCACAAATGACCGGCACTTTATAGCACGTGTAAAAACGGAGCCTGGCGTTCTGTCTGCAATGGCAGCAAAAGCAGCAGGGTAAAAAATGAGGTCTTAAGTCGCTTTAAATGTCTAACTTAACCCCTTGGGAATTCCCGGCTGAAGGCAGCCAAAGAGGCTCGCTGTGCTGCGAGCTCTCGTTCCCATTACACTTGGTGGCTCCTGCACATACAGATTCCCCCGTATCCCAGTAAAAGCAGAGCCTTTGATGCTGTCAACGTTTGTGACAAGTAGTGGAGACCGCCTGCTCCCTCGGGAAAGTAATGCTACAAATCTAGGCATAGGGGAACCTGTTCGTGTCTCCGCGCCCGCACAGAAGAGACGAGGCACGATGTAGTTGTTGCCGCCATACAGCAACGAGCTCTGCAGCCTTTTGCCTGCCTCCCTTGTAGTCCACCCTCCACCCCAAGTCCCAGTTGATACTCTTCCAGGAGATGAGCACATTATTGTCCCTCTTTCATTTCTCCTCAACCTTGGTTCCATTTCCCCCCCTCCCCATTTCATTTGTTCCTTTGTTCTTTCATTCCTTTGTCCTGTTTGTGACTGTCCCACCACTTTGTTTGCTGTCTTGTCTTGCGCAGTCCCCTCCCACGGCTCTCCCCGAGGCATGCCTCCAGCCCAGCAGCCTGCTTGCCCCTTCTTGTTTACGCCTTACAAACTTCCCAATCCTGCATGCTTTTCCAGTCCCTCCAGACTCTCTGTTCTGCCTTCAAAATCTTGCCCTGCTCCTGTCACCAGGACTTCTCTTGATCCCCTGCGATCTGCGTGGTGGTGCCAGCCACCAAAATCTCTTTTATTAGCTCTGCATGGCTGTATGGACAGACCCCTGAGTAAAGAGACAAAAATCACAATGCGAGAGGGCCTTCTGGCAGGCTAAGTTTATACCTCTTCTCCAAATAAAAATCCATGGCACCGGCAGAACTGCGACCGTATAACGTCATCTGTGCGCGATTTCCTGCCGGTTTAAGTACAGCTGTTAAAAGTGTGATTTCCTCTTGCCCACTCCCTGCCTCCTCTTCCCAGCAGACATAACTAGAGCAGCGAAAGTTTTTAGACGTAGGGCAAGACAATAGCGCCGGCACTGGGACCCTTTCCTTGGACCTGCCTCTGACGTGCTGGCTGCTCAAAAACTTGCCGTTTGCTCCTGCTGGGGCTTTCACTGTTGCTTTTTCCCCCTTTGCTTCACTGGCCTGTTGCAATATCTTTTGTGATACCTTCCTGCTGTGTCTCCCTGCTGTAAAACAAATTAACAGGAATTGGGTGTATTTGGCTACTGTATATTTGAAAAAGAACGTGTTTAAGTTCTGCCCTTTTTATCATACCTCTAATCTACTCACGCTTCAGCAAGCTAAACATGGGTCCTCTGTAGTGTTTGGCTTTGGGCCAGAAAACTTGCTAGGGGGATTTTTCCTGCTTACCCTTTTCACTGCAGCCTGTGCTCAAACTAAAGCCTACCAGAACAAGGAATCTACTTAGTCTTGTTTCTGTAGGAAGTTTGAGTACGCTTCATGGGCTTGCCAGTCGAGACTGCGGCAACTGATTGAATACTTCAGGAAGAAGCCACTGGTGTACTCCCTGTTCATCCACTGAGATCTCCTTCCTTGTTCAGCAAAACCTCATTTTAATGCCCATCCGCTCTTTCTCCTCCCTACTATTTTCTGGGGCAGCTTCTCAAATGTCTGTAACTTATCACCTGAGTCTTACGAGCCACTGATCATCCTCAGCATCCTTTGAGGCTAAAAAGGCATACACAGGATATAGAAATTATTTTGCTCACAGGTGGGTAAGCACACACTCTTCCCTTGCCCTTGACTAGACAGGCCCATAGAGACCATTCTGTTTGGGTGAATACAGAAATACAAGTTTCTTAATGGATTTTTTTTCTTCCAAGTGCAATTTATGTAATATCAAACGGCATTATTCCTCTGGCCTACTTTTTTATGGGGTGAGGGGGAATACTTACGTAGATAAAAATCGCTAGCCTTACTGCACAAGGCTTAGAGGGAACTGAAGGCCTCAAAGAGTACAGAACATAAGTAGTAGGTTCCAGTAGGGTGGTAAATATTGTCCAGTGAACCTCTTTCGAGGTCCATTAACTTCAGCTGCAGTCTTACTGCACTGACAAGACTAGACTGTGCATCAGATCCTACATATATGTGTATTTTTAAAATCTGCTAAAAATGGAATGTTTTTCTACCTTCGTTTTAAAATTATTTTGCCAGTCAACGTGTTTGTGCTTGTTTCAGATTCATCGTCTCAATGGAAGCGGTACCAGGCTGGGTCCCAGCAGTGGGTTTCACACTCTTGCCCCATGCAGGAGGATTTTTAGGAGGCAAGATAACCAAAAAGGAAATCCCCGTGTGGTATGAAACTCTACAGAAGCCATCTTGGCGTCCACCTAACTGGATGTTTGCTCCTGTTTGGGGAACTCTCTATACATCTATGGGGTATGTTTTTTCACATTGTATTAAGGCACTTATCCGATCTCAGAGTTGCTTATGGTACTGTGCTGGATCAGAAAACTGTATTTTTGTATTCCTGTGGCTCTACAACTGTAAGAAACTGTGTCAGGCTCCCTCTTCAGCAGGTAGAAACATGTTTTGGGAGTTGTGCGTGGCTTTGATAGGACACTGCTCTGTATGCAAAAAAGTCCACATCAAAAGCAGCCGTTTGAAAAAAAAATCTGCGATTAATTAGCTTTCCTCCTTCACTCTGAGGGGGAGACCTGCCAAACTGTGCAGCGATGGAGCCAGGCAGCCCTGGGATTCCTCCTACCTACGTGCTTTAGTAGTTTTAAAATTAAAAGTCATTGGGATAGAACTATTCTAATTAAAAGCTCAATTAAAAGAAGCCAAAATCAAAACTAAGGTACTTGTCCTTTCAAATAAAACTGCCAGGCTCTAAAACTCTAAATGTGTGAAACCAGTGCCTGCCTTCTTATTTAACTAGTTTAAAATACTTGACAACACAGCAATTACTGTCAAATGAATAGGGTATCATGAGGCCAAATACCATTCCCACAGGTACCTTAAACATTTAGTAATACTGTATTCTGGCAACTGTTACTTTTAATAAGATGCAGCAAAAACATTTATAGAGGTAGGTGGTCCCTGGAGATTGTCCTTGCATCTGCTTGGACAGTTATGATAATTCCTCACAGACTGCTCCAGAAGTAGCCCACCCAACATAGCGTGCTTTTATATTAACTCTCGTGAGCAGTGCCACAGAGAGGAGAGGTAGCACGCTGCTGTTAGAGCCCGAACAGCGGCTGGTGCAGCTGCCAAGCACAAAGTGATGCTTTGTTTCCCCCTTCCACGCTTCTTCATTAAGAACGAGCTACACGCCCAGATTCGGCATGCTTTTTCCTAGCTATCAAATAGGCATTACTGCTAACCCAACAGTAAAAATTTTGGGGCCGCAGTTTGCGGTTTATAGCTTACCCTTGCTAGCTCTTCCATCATGCCAGTGCATTTTAAGCGATTCCTACCTTGTGTATAGCACTGGCTTAACCACAGACGGTTTCAGAGAGATCAACTCTTTTCCAAGTTGAGATTACACAGTTACCCTGCTGCTCATCTTAAATACCACAGTCTGATGTAAAATACAGCAGTGATGCAGTATGTCTGAAAAACGTATCTGAAGGTGAAATTCTCTCACACACTCTCTCCTCTTGGTTTCCTTTTCTTTCAAGAAAAGCTTTGTAATTTCTGCAGCCTCATGTGCTGTGCCCTCTTTTTTGTCTATATTCTTTCTCCTCTTCTACAGAGTTTTTTTTTTTTTAAATGAATCTTCCCTCTTGTATAATCAGGGAGTTAGCATTGGAATCAGAACGTTATTGTCCTACGAGTCGATAAAAGATGCCTTTTTTCAAAGAGACGAGAACTCGGTGGCTTTCCCATGAAGAGTTTCCTTCACGTTGACTGCACAATTCGTAATCCGCAGTTGCTGGGGTTTCCTCATCGTAAACCTGGCCATCAAGTTAAGCATTTTAAAAATCCTGATTGTGACAGCTGGTCACTTACTTTAACAATACCAGAATATCAGTATTATTCGGAGGTGGGTGCTGCAGGTTACGTACCAGACGTCTAGCACCTGAGTCCGTTTCCTCAGTGCTTATCAGACCTTTTTTTCTGTAACCCATCCTGCACGCATGTTCCTTGGACCGATTAAGACATCTCATTCCTTTAGAATCCCTTGAATACATTAAAAGGAAGAAATAACTGAAAGCAAGAAATAATAAGCTTTCATGCCGGTCTTTGACATTTAGTTCCCTAGCTGACTTGTACCTAATCATCTTGCGCTGAAATGAAAGTTAGATCTGTGAACAACTGCAAGCACATACTAAAGCTCTTTAAGTCACTTAGGAGCAGATTTCTCTTCCTTTTGGGAAGAGAAAATGTGAAGTTTCTCATCCTTCCTCTCCCATACAAAGTTTGTTTGCTTTGTTTTTTTTTTTATTCCCCTAAACCGTCTGCTTTGTGCAATCAAACTGCCAAGCTATCAACAGCTGTGTGGTTTAGTCCTTACGAAAGGAATAGCCAGGAAGCAATCTTGGTTGTTTACTGGGCCAAAAAGAAAAAAATAATCTTTCCTATATGACACATGAATGAAGACAAACGCTTGCGAGCACCCATACGGATATTTGCTACTAAAACAAATAATGCTTAAAAACTGGCCTCCATCTTTGCTCCACTGCTGACATCCGTCTGAGCCCCCTGCTGTCCAGCACAGAGCACAGTTCAGTTCACATTGCTACCAAGATGGAGTCTGTATTCTGGGTACAAATACTGAAACAGGGATATCATTTAGGATGTTGGCATTTTATCCAGGGCAGTCTACTGTCTCATGCAATGGCTGTGCAGTCATCTGGACTGAAATCTAGCTAATGCCTAAAGGAAAAGTCAAACAAGAGCAAAACAGATAGTCTTGGGCAGTGACTGCTCCCTGCTCTTTCAGGCTTCTTCAGTGCAAAAATAAACCTGCATTAGTAAACCTGCCAAGTCCGAAGGATTCTCGTCTTTGGCAGCTTTTGTTCTGAGATGCCTCCAGTGACCGGTTCGGTGGCATGAAGATGATCCGTTCAAAATCTTCCAACCTGGTTGGCAGATCTTGCAGAAGCAAGGCTCCCATGGATGGGAAGAGCGCTGCTGGCTCTTAATTCTTCCCTTGGAAGTCCTAAAATCTTTGTTCTCCTCATCTTTGTCTCCTCCCTTCTGAGATGTGATTAGGGGTTCCTTATGCTCTAACACCATTCACACTATACTCACCTGTCTTTGGGCCGCTACTCGTTTTGTCCGTTCCTACTTCAATTCCTACTTCTCCCATATCTTCATTTCAACCATTTGAAAATGCATTTCTTTGTTTTAAAGCATCATCTCCCATTACCAAAATAAGTTTCTTCACTATTGAGAGACCTAGCTTTTCCACTCAAGCCCTCGACTTGCTTCCATTTCAATACGCCATTCTCGTCAAAGACTGAAATGCAGTAGGTAATCAGCTCCTCTGCACCTGGAGAGGAGAAATGATTTTTCTCTCTCTTTACTGCTACCTGCAGCATATGATCAGCTCTGTGCAGTCAGTTATTCGGCCAGGCAGTGTCTGGATATCTTCCTTTCCATATGAATTCAGACTCCGACACTGAAGTCATTTCGTTTGGCCAAGGCTACAGTTGCCTTCTAGCCAATGTACAGAATTACACCTTATGTTTGCTTTCTTCAGATATGGCTCCTACCTGGTGTGGAAGGAACTGGGGGGCTTCAATGAAAAGTCTGTGGTTCCACTGGGTCTGTATGCAGGGCAGCTGGCATTAAACTGGGCATGGACTCCCATATTTTTTGGAGCTCACAAAATGGGATGGGTAAGTAGAAAAACAAGTTTCTTAAGCATAGACTCCCGCTATCATTTACAAGGTGCTAAGAGTAAAGTTTTGGGTTGCAATTTTTTTTTCCTCCTTGAAAACGAACCAGATTCATATAATTGGTATAGAATATGGCTTAGGCAGTAGTTATCTAAAATTCTCTTCAACGCGTGCCTGCAACTGCCTGAGAAAATTTACCTATCTACAGCATCATTACATGTTTAGATTTCAAGTAGCTCTTTCTGTCACCTTTTGATAAGAGCTTTGTGCGACTGAAAAAGTAAACACTTATGCCTTAGCAAAATTCCTAGGTACCTCTTCGGCAAACAGCAACAATAAGAGCGTATCATGACATTACTCAGTCAATAGGTATCCGTACTAGACGAGACTGATTTTCTGTAGTCTGAAAAGAAACAAGATAGCCTCCAAAATAAAAATCAATAATAAAAACAAAAATAAAAAGTTTTTCTGAGAAGGCATCCGCTCACAAAGGGATCCAACAAGTGCCAGAGCCAATGCAAACTACGTGGGAAGAGCCACACAAATACTGTCTAGTCAAGAAAACGCAACAAGTAAAAACGCTAACCACCTTCCTGTGTTTCAGGGTTTGGTGACTCTCCTACTCACCACCGGTGCAGCAACAGCTACAACTGCTTCCTGGTGTAACGTCAACAGAACGGCAGCGTATTTGATGGTTCCTTATTTAGCTTGGTTAACCATGGCTTCTGTGCTCAATTACCGTATCTGGAAGGACAATCACAACAAGAAACAACCCGAATAAAGAATCTTCTTAGGAGAGAGACATCAGCCAAAAGATCTTTTTTTAAAGAGTTTTCTAAATGGCCTTCCTGTATTTTTAGCTGAACTACTTAATGCTATTAGACAAAGCGACTGCTAATTACTATTTGACAGAGCAGTACTTGTTTAAAAGCAAGCGTGCCTTTACTAGACAAGTCACAAAGGGCTGCATACCTTGGTGACTTTTATAACACAATAAAAGACAGTGATTAAAAAGATACTAGTTTTCTATATCATAGTTAAAATGCTGTTGTCATATAAACTGTAATACTAAAAATGAGCACAAATTACAACTTCACTAGGTTCAGAGGTAGAAATCAAGCCATATGTTAATACAGCTTCCAGAAAGCTGCTCTTAACAATCAGGCATGATTGTGGCCTGAATCTTTCGTATGTTTTCCACTAGACAGTGCTGTGCCTTAGTGCTGCAAAGCACCCATCCCACTAGAGCTGCTAGGTATTTGTTCTCCAATCATTGTACTCTGGAAATGTTTAAGATCACATCTTTTTCACAATTTGTGCCTTCCCACTTTAAAGCATAGTACACTCTAAGTGTCAGCTAAATGCATTAAACTGCATGTAACTTACGACATTTGCTTCTCTGTTTTTATTGTTTGTAAATAATTTTAAACAGAAAGATGCTAAAGGCAACGAGATGCTGTAGCCTCAAGGACAGCCCCTTCATCAACTCTCACCACTGCAGTAGGTAAGACAAAAACAGCAAATTCGGTGCACAAAGCCAGAAACGGAGTGCCCAAATACTCAGCACGCACCTTTGAGTCATCGTCAGCAGCGCTAGCCCAGCGGCGAGACAAGAGGTGCCTGCCTGGACCCTCAGTGCAGCGCCAGGGCACCACTAGACCTCCAACGCAGAGCCAGCTGCTAGGCCACAAATGGGTCTGCTGCAAGTACAGCAGTACTTGCATGGGCCCTATAGCTATGATGGGGGTCTCCTACCTGTGCCTTCTCACTTCAGCTGCTTAAAAACAGAACCACAGGTTTCTTCTCTTAAGGGCTATGGTAGGGAATGTTATGACATAGCAAGATCTGGGACGCTTAGTTCAACCAGTTACTGTCCTATTAGATAAAAAGATTTTTTCTCTAAGGGTGCAAGAAAAGAGGGACTATTTTTGCCCACAGCTTGTGGTCTCACTGCACATACGCTTTTTTAAAGTAATTCTTCAGGTTTGCTACATCTGACATCACTGTTCCCTTTGCGATTGGGAAAGCTTCCCCTTTACTCTAGGTCCACAGTCACTTTGTTATTTGCTTTCATTTACTTTGCAAGCAGGTACCCTGAAGTGCCTTTTACTCTTCTAGACAAGTCAGAAATACATCTGCTGAGCAGCACCACATGTCCCCTTACGTCTAGTCTCAAACACTTACTACTATTGCTACATCACAGTTGAACTTTTCTCTCTGTAGAAAGGAGGAGTAGTTACATTATCTACAGTAAGTGCTTAACCTCTCTTTCTTTAATCGCATTTAAATTAGGAGTCTAACAGTTCCAACTCATGAACAGGAGACTTCGATATGGCTGTCAGCACTGCTTCTGGCTGTTCGGTCCAGCTCTCTCCTACCCCACCTATGTAGTGATTGAATCTTCACAAGACAGATCTGGTTTTTTTCCTCCCTCCCTCTCCAGTCTGTTTAAATAAGTGGAAAGAAGTAGGAGTCTGCAGAAGAAAATTTTAAAGTACTCATATTCAGTGCCTGAAATAGCCTAAAACATCCCTCTCCCTTCCTGAGCACATGAGAGATAACTCATTGCATACTAGAAGCAACGTTTAGAACATTTACAGTTTTATATTTGCATCTTGCTCTAAAGCAGGCTGTGATTGCTGCAACTATCTAGAAAAAATAATATTGCCTATTTAATATACTTCATGATGGACAGCAGAACTTTTGCAAGTTCTGCTTACATATAAAGCAACATAAATAACAGCCTAGAACTGCTAAGTTTCACCCAGTTACCCTCATCTGAGGACAGAGGGGAGATTAGAGATGATCAATTTGAAATTGCCTTCCCTCCTCTCCCCCCCCTCCATTTGTCCTAGGCTCTCAACTTTTAAGTCCAAAGACTGCTTTGGCTTTTAGCTGTTTCCCAGATGCTTTTCATTTCTTCAGGCTTCTTCTGCCTTCCCTTGCTGTTCTACACATGAATACCTCACAGTTCCTACATGATCTTTTCCTCAAAGACCTAGTAACTTTAATGGGGCAGGCTAAGGATGACTGCCAGCAGTACCCAGTTCCTTTTTCTTTTTTTCCTCCTAACTTTTTATTGAAAAATGAAAAGAGCCACCAAATCTTCCATCTCATTAGCCTAGTAGTTCACTGCACTGAAATACTGTATTATTCTCTTAGCAAAAATCAGTTATTTTTCTGTCCTTAGTCAGCAAAGTATTTTAAGGAGGTTAGTTTGCTTTCCTCCTTAAAGGTTCTTCACCTTTGTGTAGGGAGAAAGGAGTGAGATGCCTGACAGTTAACAGGAGATCCGTCTTTCCCACCTTGTTTTAGCAGTTGCTAAGTCAGAGAACTCTGAACTATCCCACTACAACAGAATGACTACTTCAGTCACCAAATGACTTTACACACAGATTTCAGCAACTGCTGAAATCCTGGTATTGGAAGAATACCAGGACCTTTAACTAAATACTTTTTTGCAATCAAGCTTCATATACTTGATTCATGCTAAACTTAACAGATGCAAGCTTAAAATACCTTGGTTCACCTCAGTCTATGCACTTAAACATTTTAGATAGTTGTGTAACAGAGGAGATTTAAAAAAAAAATGAAGTAGATTAACTCCAAAATGATTCAGTAAATTACAATTTTAATGTTGACAGAGAGAAGCTGTACAATGTTTCCCAGCACACACGAGTTTAGGCTACCTGAGAAACAAGTCCATTGTTCCAGTTACCGTTCTATTTTGTCGTCTCCCATATTCAATAAAACAAGACATTTGGTCATCACAAACTGATGATATAAAACTATGCAAGACAAGGAAAATACAGACAAAATGATTATCAATATAGTATATGCATATTTTTCTGATATGACTTTTTTTTCCTGGGTTACCAGTATAGAAAGGTATTTGCATAAGCAGCTCATAGAACTGACATACAAATATTGCTGTTAAGCATCTCTGTAAAGGAAATTATTAATGGAGTCAAGCCTCCTGTGCTTAGATAATGCATGTCACATGGCAGTTGTCTGGTTTATCCAGAAATAGGGTGCTGAAGACATCATTAAAAAAGGTAGGGTGGTACTTGCAGGCTCTATCGCAGTCAGGATTAAAGTTCACCTCCAGGATCTGAGGCTGCATAGTTTTTTTCCCTGGAAGGGAGAACACAAACATTGCCTTTTAATACAAGCTATATAGAGATTCTGATTCATTACCTGTCTTTAAGCCAGGGAGTATGGAAAACGGCTGAAAACAGCCATCTTTTATGACCCCAGCCAGAAGGCTTTTTATTTGTTTCAGTGTTTGGTTTTGGGGTTAGGGAGGTCTCATTTACCATTGTTATCCAGAGAATAAGATACTCAGACTCTGCAATCTCTACACTAATCCAAGGCCTCATTTAGAATGAGGATTTGCAGCAACGTAATACATGTACAACTGTCTTGCTTGATGCAGTCTGTAACATCTTCCAGAAAGGTCTGCTCGTCCTTTCATGTTTTGGTACCAAGCTTCCTTTCTTAAAGCTGTTAGATATCTACCTTCCTAGTTCTAGCAGTCCTGGTTCCTCTAAACTCCAGCAAACATCTCCCACCTGCCACTTCATCTTACTCCTAGAAGGAAGTCAGAAAGTTTAACTTTCTCATAAAACTTGATCAGTGCAATTCAGACAGCTAGGTATCAAATGCGTTCTGTGCAAAGAGAAACAAGGGATTTTATTTACTGTCTGGAATTGAGACCACAGCTGAGGGTACTAGCTTCTGACGTGTGAGGAAACCATGCTCTGCAGAGCAGCAGCTAACCCATTTGTCCATAGGCAGACTGCACGATCACAGCTATGACTTTGGCGCCCATGCCCCCTGGGGTCTCAGGGGAAAACAGATAAGATGCCTTGAAGATCTTCAAAAGGCAGGAGACCTACGCAGCTCCTGTTGGGCCAGGGCTGCAAGGTGAGCTTGCTCCTCTTACTACAACCTTTCTCTTGGAATTGATAATATCGGTGACTTGCTTTGGTCTGCCTCTCCCATTCAAGACAACCTCAGCAGAGGTAACCATCTAGCTCAGAGCATCCAATGTGGACGTAGCAGACCCAAATTCAAACCTTTGCTCCACCTGATCTGAACAGGAGAGACTCAATTCTGTACCTCCTGTTTCTCATGGGAGGACTCCAGCCACGAGGCTGCTACCCATTCTAAGATGAGATGATACTAGGCCACTGTCCATCATCTTTGAAAGGTCATGGTGATCAGGAGAGGTGCCTGAGGACTGGAAGAAAGCCAGGGCCACGCCAGTCTTCCAAAAGGGCCAGAAGGAGGAGCCAGGAAACTACAGGCCAGTCAGCCTCCCCTCCATCCCTGGAAAGGTGATGGAGCAGCTCCTCCTGGAGGTCCTCACTAAGCATGTGGAGGACAAGAAGGTGATCAGGAGTAGTCAGCATGGATTCACCAAAGGGAAATCACGCTCGACCAATCTGAGAGCCTTCTGTGATGGGGTGACTGGCTGGGTAGATGAGGGCAGAACAGTGGATGTTGTCTACCTGGACTTCAGCAAGGCTTTTGATGCCGTCTCCCATCACATCCTCCTAGGTAAGCTCGGGAAGCATGGGTTGGATGAGTGGCCAGTGAGGTGGATTGAGAACTGGCTGGATGGCCGAGCTCAGAGGGTTGTGGTCAGTGGTGCAAAGTCTAGTTGGAGGCCTGTAGCTAGCAGCATCCCCCAGGGGTCAGTCCTGGGTCCAATATTGTTTAACTTACTCAGCAGTGACCTGGATAAAGGGATAGAGTGCTTCCTCAGCACATTTGCTGCAGATACAGAACTGAGAGGAGTGACATACACCAGAGGGCTGTGCTGCTGTTCCGAGGGACCTGGACAGGCTGGAGAGTTGGGCGGAGAGGAACCTCATGAAGTTCAACATGGGCAAGTGCAGCGTCCTGCCCCTGGGGAGGAATAACCCCATGCAGCAGTACAGGTTGGGGGCTGACCTGCTGGAAAGCAGCTCTGCAGAAAAGGACCTGGGAGCGCTGGTGAGCAACCAGTTAAGCATGAGACAGCAATGTGCCCTTGTGGCCAAGAAGGCCAATGGTCTCCCCTGGGCTGCATGAGGCAGACAAGGGAGGTGATTCTTCCCCTCTACTCAGCCCGGGGGAGGCCACATCTGGAGTACTGTGTCCAGTTCTGGGCTCCCCAGGACAAGAGAGACATGGAGTTCCTGGAGCGAATCCAGCAGAGGGCTACTAAGATGATGAAGGGACTGGGGTGTCTCTCATATGAGGAAAGGCTGAGAGAGCTGGGCCTGTTTAGCCTGCAGAAGAGAAGACTGAGAGGCAATCTCATCAATGTGTACAAGTATCTGAAAGGAGGGTGTCAAGGGGACGGGGCCAGACTCTTCTCAGTGGCGCCCAGCGATAGGACGAGAGGCAACGGGCACAAACCGGAACACAGGAAGTTCCGTCTGAACATGAGGAAGATATTCTTTCCTGTGCAGGTGACTGAGCACCGGAACAGGTTGCCCAGAGAGGCTGTGGAGTCTCCTTCCCTGGAGATATTCAAAAGCCATCTGGACACATTCCTGGCTAATATGCTCTAGGTGACCCTACTTGAGCAGCAAGGTTGGACTAGACGATTTCCAGAGGTCCTTTCCAACCTCAACCATTCTGTGATGAGACTCTTGCGATCTCCTGCTGCAGTCACCTCGCTCCATGAAAGTGATTCAGTAGTTACAGAATTAGCCACAGGCAGCACCCAACCAACATACAGCATCTAATCACCCCCTCAAGCAATCATGGGGGCAAGGAACAAACTTCAAGTCCTGTACACTACAGGAAAAAGAGTACACTCAGTTCTGTCAAATGCTGCCCCTGACAGTCCTTTTTGCGTCAGGGCCTCTCCTGCTTTTCTGCCTACACATAGATGTCTGGCCTGGGCCATGCTTAGACCACGTTTTTGAGCCTCTTCGTAAGGTAAGAAAGAATTCACCCTATCTGGAAAATTTTGCTACCAGTCCTCCAAGACTTTGGTTGGAAGAAAGGCTTTAGGTTAGCCATGCTGTGGCACCAGCATGAAAGCAGCTTCATATACACCTTCTTGCAGAGACTTAGCCACATGTAAACTTGGCAGTAACTGAGTGACAGTCCTGAGGACATCAACAGCAATTGAAATGGTGAATCCAGTCCCTTGCCTGCTTTAATAAGTAGCTGTGTCTTCTGAAGGCACTGTGCCAAGCCTGGCCAAGTCAGAGTTCGGTAAGACAGTAAAGATGTCCCTGAAGTTTTTGTGAAGACACATATTTCAGACCGTCTCCCACCATAAATGGGAGAGAAAGCTTGCTGTTGTCAGAGTGACTAGACTGTTGTACAGCTGCCTTTTTTTTTTTTTTTTTTTTGAGAATGGCAATAGCAGGGGCGCAAGGGTGGCAAGGACGTGGCTAAGCAACCGCTCTAAGCATGGCTCCTCCCACATTACTGTTAAGTTGCACAGTGGATTTTAACCCCACAGCTCCGCAACTCCAGATATGCTTTGATGTCAGGGCGGGCACTGAGATCACACAGCTCACTGTGCTTGAAAAACAGCAAGGGGTCAGACAACAAATAAGTTTCCAAAAAAGGGTATGGAAATAAAATGAACTCAACATTCACAGAAAGGAGCTTCTTACCATCTCTGCTGGTGTCCCACTTAAGCATCAAGTCAATGGCATATATTGCTCTTGATGATGGATAATCACAGATTCCAAGAGGTGCAGGTTTAGCTGAAGCAACTTGGAACAATTCAGCAAATGCCTTAAAAATATCTGCCTGAAGACAGGAAAAGGTCTCTGAATGAGATACAGAAGTTCTGTAAAAGCAACTAACATTCATCACTTTGCCCACGAAGCTTTTTAAAGTATTTGCATAAATTACACTAGCCAACAGATGAAAATGCACCCAGCAAGAGCCGCAAAGCATGCATTTAGACATGAAGACCAGCATCGTGAAAGTGCTTAGCACCTAGCAATATCCATGAATTTAAGAACATAAATACTGTGGAAATCCTTAAAATAGGGCATTTAATATTAGAGTTAAATCTCTTTACAGGCATTATGTACAGTATTACACTTATGTGTAGAGGAGAGAAGGAAAAACCCAGGAAAGTTTTGAGAACACCAGAAGCATGGCACCAAAGTTGTGACTTTTTCTTGCCTCGTAATTACATTTCTTTACAATACGAAACAAAGCTAGAAAGCAAAAATCTTCTGTCCATTTAGCCTCCTCTAAAAAGGGTGCTGGTGGTGGTGAGGACACGCACGAGTTTAAGATGAGATTACACTGATAGGTCCAGAAATCAGATACCCAATGTGAAAGTGAAATAAGACAGAAGGAACGTATAGGGGGAATTTTAACATGAAGTCTACACTGAAGTGAACCAGTCTCTCTGCAAATGGAAAAATGCTGTAACTGAGTATTCTGTATACAATACTACTTTGGGTAGCCTGCAGTCTGGCTTCTGTCCTTTGCCCCCATCTCTCCCCTTTTACTTCTTGTAAAAGAATTTAAACCTACTGCTACAAAACCTGTTGTGCTCTGGGTATATTTACTGGAATATGGGGTTCTAGCTAAAACTGATACAAATTAATTTGTGAAAGTCATCCCACAGCTGGGTAATTTATTCACTTTTGAAAGCATATGCAGCAATAACTGCTCTCTTACCACTCCTTCTGCATGTTCTGGCTCCTAATAAATATACAAGAATGCAACAGTTGTGTGCATTTCTGAACCATTTCTTTGCATTCAGCTTTTTCTTTCAAGAATTACTGAAGAACAAAGAGAGGGTCATCATCTGCCTTCCAGTATACATTACTGAACTGTACCATTTGGGGCTTCCTCTTTGGACATAAAATATGCCCTTGTATTAGGGAACCATCTCTTTTGATGTGAGAGTCATTAATGCAATGACAGGAACAGGACTCAGGTCAACTCACAGAGGCTGAGGCAGCAGCTGGAAATTCTGCACTGCAGTCTCAAAGACAGGATTTAATTTAACAAATAGGCACCAGGTTCTGGACTTAGTAGTTCAGAGATATTACACTGGTGGTGTATTAAATTAAAACAACCCCCCGCCCACACATACACACAAAAGAGACCGGCCAATCTTTTGTTTTCTTTCAAATATGTCACAGTGTGTAAACGCAGCCTTTGCATGTTGTTGTGTGGGCCCCTGCCCCCCCCCCCCCCCCCCCAAGCACAGGAGCCCTCGAGGAAGGGACCAGACTGTTTACTTCTATGAGCCACTTCAGTACAGTTAGGCACATCTTGAGCAAAAAGGATTCATAGATGCTTTACATGAGAAAGATGAATTGCCTGACTTACTTGTACTGTTGTCCATGGATATTCTGGATATTGTTTTTCAAACAGAGGAATAAATTCTTCACAGTGTACCTGAAACAGTTTAACAACAAACATTGCTTTGGTTGGGAATGACTGAGCAAACTGATGACTTGAAAATGAGACATCAAATCATTTTTGCAGGTAGAGAACCAGAGAAATTGATGGTTCCTGAACCCCTTAGTTGTTACAGGGCTTCTTATTATTTAAAAAAAAAAAATGACACTGAAGTTTTTGAAAATGATTAACTGCCAATGTAATAATTCTTTTACTGATTTCTATCAACATGGGTTATAGTCAGGATATAGATTTGTATTATCACAGGTGACTGGGGGTCCACAGGAGAAATAATCTAGGAAAGTATTTGCTTAGGGTACTTTTATAAGACATCAAGCGCTTGTTTAAGTAAATGGGAATTAGGTTATTCGGCAGCAACCACAGAGGAGACAGTGGAAGATTATTTAACAGTGGAAAGACAGGGAAACGTTTTAGATCATTTGCTTACCTGTTTTAACATTACACCAGGAGCATAGTTCATGACAGTGAAATGCTTCTCGTAGTCATGCAAGTCATCAAGTGAAAATGCCCTAACCAGTAAAAGAAAAACAACTCCTTAATTTCCAAGGAATCCAAGAAGATTTGGAATTAAATCTTCCAAGAAGATTTAATTCCAAGACCCTTCAATCTAACGAGGAGAGGGAAGTAATTACCGATTTGAAAAGCGCAACCAAAATACATCATAGACATACAGCTTGAGTGGTTTTATGGACCTCAACAATACAACATAACGGACGTCAAATTTAACCATTCCGACGTCTTCTCGGTGAAACAAGACTGGATTCTCAATATATTTGCACGCTACCTACAACAACAAAAAAAACCCCACTGTTAATATAATTCAACCTAAATGAAAATAAAGTGTCACTAGATCTTGATGATTTAAGATATCTTTGTATGCATTTCAGTTTTTCTTTAGAAACGTGTATGAATAAGTGATGGTATGCAAAGAGGTAACCTTTTATCAAAGTCCTTTGGTGCTGCAGTGGGGGAGATAGGAGGCCAGAACACACACACAAAAACCTAAACAAAATCAAATCACAATACGGTCACAGAAATTTTATATAAAATTAACTTTGTTTTGAACTAGGACTAAGAGGCAATCATTTGTGCATTTCCACATTCCAGAAAATATATTCAGTCCACACATCAGCTGAAATATAGCTTAGGTGACAGTCTGATACATGACCACATATTGCAGACCCCTTAAAAAAGGCTCCATGATTCATCTATTGTTGGCAAAAGCAATGCTCTGTGCCACTGAGCAGAGCTGTGGATCAGCAGTAATGATCAACCTGGGGACAGAAGCAATAACGTTCTGAAATTTATGACCGACACTAACTATAAGATAATGTGAACTCATCTTCCATTGCGATTTCTTAAGGATTAGCATTAAAGCAGCAACGCACTGGAGCTGCTTCTTTACCGTGGGGGCAAGTTTTATTTTTTTGAGCTAAGAAAACATCAGGCCTTGCAGTACAAATGAAAGCGTCTTCCACACTGCCTCCACAGTGTTTCACTGAAGCAAACAGAGCTGACTGATTTGAATATAAATCGATTCTAAATTGATTGAAATAGTACGCTTACGGCTAGCATGTGTTTTGAAGAAAATTCATTTCCTTCCTCATATTTTTAGACCTCCTTCCATGAATACATTTGTTCAGCTATCCCATTTTAAATCACATTCAAAGACATGCTGTCTAACCTTTGGGCTGCTTTCCCTGTGCCTGATGATATTGTTAAGGCTGTTGGTGATGTGAGTGTCCAGGCTTCTGGCCAAGTTCCATGGTTTGCATATCCAGTGATTGTCTTCTCCTCTGAGGAAGAGAGAGAGAGAGAGCGCGCGCACACATCAAAGCCTGTAAGCACCCACCTCATTCATCTGTCTGAACATGCACTTGAACTGATCTATGTGCTTACTCCCTTGTCTATATACTTTACAAAGCTGTGGGCTACAATGCAAGAATAAAGGACTTTTGATTGACAGCTGGGAGTGCTAGGTTCTGGGTGTGAAGGGGAAAAACACAACAGTAGCTCTCATTGATCTTTGCAGTCAGGGTCTAACATGTTCTCACTGGTAATCTCCTTTTTCAATGCTCGACTCCTTCGCAGACGACAAATAACCGATCAATAGGACAGTATCGCCACGAGCACGCGTAGGTCACAGTGCAGACATCATTCTGCCAGGCGACGGAGAACATTCTGGCCAGCTACTCGCCAGAAACTGGCAAGTTTCTAAGCTGATTCTCTAATAACATCTCCAAAACATTCCCTTTAAATGGCACCATAACTCTCTCTGGGAAGGAATCTCAACAGTTCATCTTGAAAGAAAAGGAGAACACACCATCCTCTCACTTGTTAGTGCCTAGTTATCTCAAGAACGCAATTTTCCCTGAGGAATCCTCAAGGAAAACAGGTAATGTGCTGGCCTTTATTCTATGCATCTTTCTGCGTAAGGACAGGGTGACACTTGATGTCCTTCTTTCCTCAATTATTTTATGAGAGCAACTCGAGAACTTGCTTGGACTTCGTGATAAACAGCATAACCTGAACTGAAACCCGTGTAACTTAAGAGGGTCTGCTTTGTTTTTAATTAAGGCTTCCTATCCCTTCCTCCCTCTTCCCCATCTACACATGGGCATACACGATCAATTCTTTGTATTAAATGGGAATTAAAACACCCCAGTCTAAGGATACGTGAGAAGGAGCACTCCCTCCCAGTTATGCCAGACCAAGGACAGACTCCTTAGAGGAGGGAACGGCCAAATGAAACTCCTGACAGATGGCAGCATAAACAAGAGCAACCAAGGATGCAACCTTTCAACCAGAACACTTCATGCCAGGTATAAGAGGTTGTTTCCACTATCAACACCTAATGCTTACCTTCTCCCTTACTAAAGAAAAACCTTACTTTCCATCAAGCTTCCAAGGCAGCTGCAGCAGCAGGAGGAGCAGCGATGTGAACCTGAAACCTTAAAGCTCCACAACTGCTTTAGGTTTACCCTAAACCTCCTTTCTACTTTCACATCCATACAGAACCCAAGTACTTTAACCCCAAACAATTTCCATTCTGGCTTAAAAGGCTTAAAAACAAGAACATCTGTTACTGGTCCCTTGAGGGGAGGGGAGGGGAGGAAAAAAAAAAAAAAAAAAAAGAGAACCCACACGCACAAAACAGAAACGCACCAATCATTTGTCACAAACACACCCTGAGCCTCTGTATATCTGTTAAACATTACTGGTAAGATCTTGGTTAGACAGAAAGCAACAGGCAGAAGTCTGGGTTAAAACTGTGGCAAAGTGTTTGGATTTCAAACTGCACTGCTTTGCTACTCTCATTAAAGAAAATAACCAAAAAGAACTTCACGCTTTTCAAGCAAAATTCATGTGAATATGAACAAAAGGCAGCAAGCCCAAACTGCGGCAACATGGTGGCAGAATAGTTGCCAATCCCAAAACGCAGGCTACTGGTCTGAGGAAAGCAGGATCAAGAAAGCACAAAACGTAAGGGAGCAGAAACATGAACCACCTTCTTTCACGTTGCTGAAAGTAGCTGATGAACTGGGGCAGTTCTGTTTGGAGGTTGAAAGTACGAGGCAACCATCTTGGCCCGTCTGGTCCTCCAGCTCGTCTAGATACGGATGCCAGGCAATCTTTGACAGTCAAGAGGTTCTCACATGGGAACTGATTCAGCATCACCTGAGGCCTTTCCTCACTTAACTTCCTACAAAACAGAGTTGTTGTTGTTTGGGGGGAGGGAAGGAGGAACAAGCCTTCCAGAACACAACTTTTACAGCAATAGAAGACTTTGCATCATCAAGGAAATCATTGTAACCTATAGTCTTTGAAGTGGGAGAAGTTGTAGAGGATGTCTGCTTCTTCCTCGTTGTCTGTGAATACAAAGCGGGGATGTGTCAGGTTGTTGAGGACCTGCT